TCTAAGTCGAGCCACCAAAGTCTCTGGGGAATGCCAGACCATCAGCTGCACCAACTTCATCATCAGGTATTATGACCTCCTCTGGAAAAACTGAGCACATGTTTCAGTGTTTTCCCAGTAAAGACGCTGACTTGTTGCACGTTGTGTTCCTGCAGTGAAACTGAGGCCAGATTTCTTCAGAAGAAAATCAGCAGCATGGCCTTCAAACCAGCATTTCTGCCAAATTCCTACCACTGTGCTCAACACCCTCAAAGCTCCAACAATAAAAGGCAGAGGACACCCAACAGCCAGAGTGAGGAGCCTGGTGCCAGAGATACGAGGGAGTCTGAGCACGACACAGACTGTGTGGTGAGCGGCTCTTCCCCGAGCTCACCTGCCCTTCTGGGTGATAGCCCTGCTGTCTTCATCCCTCCATACAGCCCCGCCTCCTCCAGCTCCTCTCTGCAGCAGGAGGAGCTCAGCCATGACATTCTGATGGATGTGCATGTATGCACAGATCAGTGGCTGTGCTCCCCTGAGGCCTCTCCCTCCCATTATTCCTACCCAGAGACTGGGCTCACCTGTCACCATTCACCCTCAGACTCCCTCCCTGCAGCCACTCAAACCTTTGACCAGCCATCCTTTGGCACGCTCAGTGGCCACACTCCACCCACCTCATCATCGCCATCCTGTGATTTCAGAGATTATACATCTGACGCTCGCTTAGTTCCAGACTGTCTCTCTGTGTCCGACATGTGTGAGAGCCCAGCGGACTGTGCTCTGCATCCAGATGATTTCGGCCTTCTGTTGCAGCCACAAGAGGGCAGCGTTGTCCAACTGCATCGTGATGCTCCTGACTTATCCACACATACCAGTGTTTTTAATCCCAGCCAGTCTCCCACATCCCTAGAGCCTAACCAGTATAGCGAAAGTGAGCAGGTGGAGATCAGTATTCTGGCCCAGCAGATCTCCTCGCTGGCCAGCAGGTTTGACCGGCATCACACTGTGAATCCCTATCAGCATGTGGTCCAAACTACAGCCACCAACACGACGCCCTCAGCCTGTGACTGGCCCCCTAATTCTCCTCCCCCCTCAGTTCGTCTTCCCAATCCTGCGCTGGTTCTTGATGTTGCCATGTTTGACAGCTTCATGAAAGATCTGAACATGTTCACAAGAAAAGGCAGCACATTGAGCGATACCAACTACCAGCAGGGCTTAGTGTGCAGCAGGAACGGGCACCATCCCCATCAGGAGCAGCAGGAGCACATTGGCTTCATTGCAGAGGAGCTGCTGGCTGCAGAGCACTTCACCGTGGGCAGCATCGCCATAGATCCCATCAGTATGCAGCTGGGATGCCATGATCAAACCACTGGGTTGCTTCAACATCATCTCTACTAAACAGTCCACCCTAATGAGATGGCACATGACAGTTGTCGGGTACAGATGGTGCTGAGACTCCAGTTCGTGGATCTGTCATGGTGCCGGATCTATAGTGGAGACAAAGAGTGAGTGACAGATCAGCTGCCTTGCATGGCTTCACCCTCATCACCAGCACACAGGGCATGCTGGTCTGTGCTTGAGAACGTGTAGCTGAATATCTCGGGCTTTCCATGGTGAGCCCTTTTGTGAATTACATTGTCATTTTCAGGTGTAATGTTGCAGCAGTGATGGATTTTGAATCTGTTAGAACTAACACCAACTATGACACTTTCGCAGGTGTATGTACTGCGAGGAGACACGTTATGACATGGTGGGATGTTCCGATACTGAGATTGTTAAATCAAACCTGGACATCGAAAGCAACATATTATCAGGTAACCAAAATTTCAAATGATGCGCGGCATTTAAAATGACTGTATAAAACGATCCCCCTCTTTTTGCTGTAATATTACTGACATTGCTGCTGTAGGTGGAAAAAATGAGCCAGTTTCCCCTGAAATCTGTTTATGAAATCCATTACTGATGCAGCATTGTGCTACAAAGCCCTTATTTTAAGTGAATTTCTTCCATTTAATTCATAGTTGGTTTTAAAACTCGGCAAAACTAGTCTTAAATGTTTTAACAAACATGAAAGACTAAACTGACGTGTTTTCTTTCCTCAGAGCGGAGTTTTATATGTTGCATGAAATCCTCCAAGACCTTTAAGTTGCAACATGGCAGCTGCTCCTCTACACTGGTCAGAGTTGAGGGAAGATCTGGAAGCTTCCTCTGTGTGTCCTCCCTTACCATCACCACCACTGAGCCACTGTTTGTCACTGTCTGCACCCTAGCAGTGAACTGCCTGAGGAGCACGGACTCTCATGGACTGGATATGAGCTTTATGAAGCTGTCAGATAGGTACAATTGCACAACTTCTTCTGTGAGCAGGAATAATGAACGTTTTCCTGTTTAT